TCCACAGGAATGACCCTGTCCGTGGCACTGGCAGGGTGCCCGCAGCACCCGAGGCATCGCTGTCACTCGTTCCTTTTCAGTGGACACGGAAATATTTGGGCTGGCCCGAGTGGGCATGTCCCCAAACAGAGCACACCTTTAGGTGCGCTGGGGCGCGGGGACCGTCCCGTCCCGGGATCGCACCGGTGCGGGTTCCCGGCGGGGTGAACGCCCGTCCCCGGCGCATCCCGCCCGCCCTCCGCTCSTACCTGTGCAGTGCTGCCACGTCCTGCCGCCTCCCCGCGGAATGCCCCCGCCGCTGGCCCGGCCCAGGAGGATGACCCAGAGCAGCAGTGGAGCCGACATGGAGGGCCCGGCTTTAGGGGGTCCATCCACCGGGACCCCTCCGCTGTGCGCTGTGCGCTGTGCGCTGTCCCCGCCCGGCTCAGCGCCCCGGGGGCTCTGGCATGCTCTGCAGCGGGTCCCCCGGCACCGAGCCCCCCTCCCCGGGCTGGGGTCACCCCAGGCTGCTGAAGCGCGGCTCTCGGGCGGTGCTGTGCGTGGGCATGGCCCCCGGGGGCACAGCCGGGGGGGGGGCGGGGGTCTCCTGCGGCGGCCGCCGAGGCAGTGCCGGCTGCAGCCTGCACACAGACATTTAAATGAGAGGTCGGTGGTGGGAGAGGAGGAGTCCCGGCTCCTCCGGGAGCTTTTATCTTTTGCCCAACCCTCTGGAAGGCGGCTTTGGGGAGGGAGTTTTTAATCGTTATTTTTTGGTTGTTTTCTTCGCTTCCTTTCATTTTTGGTGATTCATTTTCCTGGGCTGACATGGGAGTAGGTGGGAGATTCGCCCCTGCTTGGAGACACCTGGCTGGGAACTTTCCTGCCCCTAAACGCATTGGTTTTCAGGTTGTATGGTATGAGAGACTCTCTGACACCTCTGCACCACTCCACCGTGCCCAAAAATAAGCCAACCCCCCCAAAATGCATATTTCTCCCCAAAACTGTCCCAGGCAGGTGATGCACATCCCATGCCCCAAGCAAGGCTCCATCCCAAGGGCCAACCACCAGGCCCAAGCCCTGCCACCGGCTCAGAAACCCTCCAGGTTCTGCTGTTCCAATGGAGCAACAGCAGTGGGAAAGCTCCCTGCACGCAGACAGCTCTGCCGGGCTCCTCCAGCCACAGAAGGAGCCTCTTCCATTCCCCAAACAATTGAAACAGGCTCCCACCCCGCCTCRTCCCCAAAGCCTTCCCGCAAGGCGTGCACTGGAATAGAAAGCGGATGGCCGGGACCAAACGCCAAAAACTGTGTCACAAACCGGGGGTTTTGTCAGCCAGAGCCAGAGCCAGACCCGTGGTTGTGGTCAGTGCAGTCTGCCCGTACCCCAAAACTGCTGGGGCTGAGGGTGCAGCCCAAGGGGTGCAGCCCAGGGTGGAGTGCAGCACCGTGCAGCACCTCGGCCCCAAATCCCAAGAGCACCCCATGAACCCCAAGACACTGAGGACCCCAAGGATGTTGGTGCCTCTGTCTCAGTCTGCAGAGTGGCTGTGTGCCTGCCCAACAGCCCTGGCAGGGCCCTCTCCAAACAGGCTCTCTTTGGGCATCCCCCAAATTAGGGTCATGCTTAAACCTTCCCTGCAAGAGAGAGCTGCAGAGGTGAGGTTCTGCTCTCTCCTCATCATCCTCATCCTCATCCTCATCCTCAGGATGGTGCCCAGTGGCACAGCCACAACCACACCTGGGAGTTCCAGATGGCCAGGTGACCCCAGGGGAAGCAAGAGGACAAACCATCCCATCTCCCCTCTCCTGACACTCCCAACCTTGAGGACACCCAGCAGGGCTGGGAGTGGGAGCAGCCACCTCACGGGAACCCCAGGCCACGGGAAGGTGGGGATTGGTGTTCCAGGCACGTCTGGCAGAGAGGTGCTGCTGGCAGAGRGGCTCCCGTCAGGTCGGAGCTGGAGAAAGCATCACAAATAGGAGTCAGAGCCGCCACATCTCCCGGGGCTGCACACATGTGTCAAGTTAAGCGTGGCTTTGGGAGCTGGCAGCGCCGCCCTGAGCAGGGGATGGATTTGGGGAAGGCTCCTGCCAAGGCTCTGCAAGGGTCTGGGGAGGGAGGGAAAGTCCTGGCAGAGATTCTGGGTCCATTGGTTTTCCAAAGGGGATGCAGCCACCTTTGAGTGCTTCCTCAAGGGCAAAAAAACAGTCGGTGGGGACATCTTCAGAGCCAAGGACAGAGCTGTGGGTGTCCCCTCCAGAAGCAGGGGGATCTGTGGAGCTCCAGGCAGGAGGTGGAGGGACTGCAGCCCCAGCAGTGAGCACGGAGCACATGATGGGCTCAGGCTGCTGTTCAGCCACGTTAATGAACCGTCTCCTGCTGAAGATAGGGATGTTGAAGGTCCCCAAGGGTTTTCTCTATTCCTAGACTAGGGATGGCAGAAGATTTGGAGTGGCTGGGGCAGTGCCCAGCGCTTTCCTCCCTGCCTGGGGACCGAGCTGTGATTGGAGCAAGGACAGGGACACATCGCTGTCACCCCGGGTCCAGGACCTGCTCCRTGTCCCCAGGACAGTAGGAAGTGGTCTGCAAAGCAGTTCCTAAGCACACAGGCGCACATTCCTAAGTGCAGAAGCAAGCACGAGGGGATGCAATAAAAGAGACAAACAGCGAGACGTTTGCCTAATTCGCATGGGGCATAAATGAAACCATGTGGCGGCTCCGAACAGAACGATCCTTGGATCTCCACCAGAAAGGTTTGGCCATCCCTGGGTTAGGAAAGGTTGAGAAACCCATCTGTAGGCAATTGACTGCCAGCAGAGCTTTCACGCAGGGGACAGCGCAAGGAGGGCACCGCACCGACGCCAGGGGCCRGCTGGACCGCGCGCACGGGGGAACGTTCCTGCTCTTCCAAGGCTGTAACTCATTCCTTATTATTTGCAGACACAAAGCCGTGTTTCAGGGCTTCATGCCTTATTCGTTTTGGTCTTTATTCCTGACATCTGTATACAATCAGAGAATCTTTTAGGTTGGAAAAGACCTCTAAGTTCTTCAAGTATTCTTCCCTGAAACGCAGGCATCAGCAAGGGCAAGGCTTTGAGGGACCCCTGTAAGGAACTGATGGACAAACACCCATCTCATGGTGTCCCCAACCTCTGTMCACCCCCCTGCCTGCACCAGCAGGGCCAGGGGAGCCTGCCACACTCACATCCTTGGAGGTCAGTGCAGTAAGGACTCACACAAGGAGCCAGTCCCACCTGTGTGAGCAGCAGGGTGGGGATGAGCCCTTTGGGATCAGTGACGAAGGGGATGGGTGGGGGAATTGTTCTCAGAGTGACAGTTCCCCAAATGACAGCTTGGGCTGAACAACTGGAACACCCTCCCCAGGATGGCAGGATGAGGTCTCCATCCTCAGCCATTTCCAAGGCTCCTCCCTTGTCACCTCTGCCCTTTCTCCCAGGCTGAAAATCTTCCCTGTGTTTCCTGGAGCAACTTCAACTCCCTGAGTCCAACCCACCAACATAAAGCAGAGTTCCGGCAAGAAATCCCGCACCAGGAGAACTGTCAGCATCGTACAGAAGCACAAATGTCTTTAACCCCAACAGCTTTCAAAAGCTGAATTCCCAGAAGTTTTSGAGAGGTTCTGCCAGGAAAAGTTTTGTGAAAGACTGGGAGGATTGCAAAAAGCAAAARGCAACGTTTTTAGGAAAACCACCAAAAGTAAGGACAAAGCTGGCCCCGTCCTGCTGCCACCTCCTCAGCATGGAGCTGCCTTCAGGAGCAATCCCTGCCAGGCGTGGCCAGCCACCAGCATCGCTCAAATCCCAGAGCCCTCCATGTCCCCACACCCAGTGCCAGCTCAGGGAGTGAAGGAGCCGGGAGTCCCCAGCCAGGGCTCCCTGGCTTTGGCCACAGCAGCAGTGGGTCACAGCCAGGAGCAAGCTGAGCATCCTGCCCCGCATTTGGAGGACACATGGCAGCTGAGCAGGCAGGCTCAGTAAGGGCTCTGAAAAGCAGACACTTTCACCAGTACAAGGGGACTCAGGCTTTGAGACTGTGCTTCCACAGCGCAGCTGTTTTGGATAGGGCCACACCGCATCCTCCCCTCATTTCATCCCTGCATATGACCAGTAGCCCTTCATTGCTGCCAGTCCCTTGTTGACATAGTTGTTCTAATTTTTGTCACCTTCTCCCAGTGTGCCCAAACYTGTTGAAGAGGCTGAGCCACCTCCCCACAGCCACAGGATCCCCAGACTCACCACTTTCCAGTGAGGCAGCTCTGTAGGGCTGGAGGGCATCCAACCCCGGCAACCATGAGCATGAGGATCATGGAAATGCTGCTCCGGGTATTTTTTGTAGGTCTCAGCTCTACAGAGAGGCAAAAGAGCAGGGGTGGGGTTCACACGTCATTTGGTGGTGGTGCAGGAGATCCAGGAGCTCTGCCTGAACGCCCTGCTCCACCTGCAATGGGAGAATTCTGCTTGATTTTGAGCTCAGCTGAGATCTCTCCACAAAGGGAATAAACAGCATTCCAGAGGCCAAGGGGAAGGAGGCAAATTCTGTTCCACACTTATCACCTGTGCTTTAATCTCCTTCAGAGACAGCCCTTGTCCAGCACTTGGGGGTTGTGCAGAGCAGCTGGGGGTTGGAGACATCTGAGCTTTGCTGCAGCAGGAGCAGCAGCTCACAGGGCTGTACACGCAGCCTTGGGGGCTCTGTGTGGGGAGCTGTCAGCTTGGCCAAGCAAACCCCATGCCAAGTGCCCTGGGCTGAGCATTGCCCAGAGATGTKGTGGAYTCTCCATCCCTGGAAGTGTCCAAGGCCAGCTTGGATGGGGCTTGGAGCAGCCTGGGATAGTGGAAGGTGTCCCTGCCCCTGGGGTGGGATGAGATGAGCTTTAATWTCYCTTCCAACACAAAGYATCTGGGGATTCTACGATTCTGTGATSTCTCTGTAGGCTGCCCTGGAGTAACACCTGAGCCCCAGGGCTGGCTGTGGCATGGGGAGAGGAATCTCCCGTGGCAGTGCTGGGGGAAGCCCTCCTCTGCCTTTGCTTGTAGCTCTTTGATCCGGGCAGTGACCACACACACCAGATTACAGCAGGCAGGTGGCGGTGAGCGGCACAAAGAGCCCCAGCAGGGAAACGCAGGGATCTGTCCCCACATGCTCGGGCACAATGAGGACCGGCAGGGATAGAAAATGGGAAGCACAGCGCTGCTTGGATGAAATGATCCCATGGCTCCCTGGTTAGGGACCAGTTAGGGACCTTCTCTCCCACAGATCCACCTCTGACTGCCTGCCCCGGGAAGGTGTGGGCATCACAAACCCTTCCCAGTGCTGGCAGCAAATCTAGGCTGGGGTCCCTGCATCATTTAGCATTATTTTTCTCTGCAGCTGTAAGAAAACCTCCTGTCCCCTGCCGCAGAGAGTCACTGGCCAATTTTATCGCTCCCTYGTACGACAGTGTCAAGCTTTAATTATTTCACGAGCGACGATTGAGGCTCCGGAGGAGGCGGCGGGCGGCAGGGCAGGCGGTGCGCCCCGGGTGCCAAGCGCGGCTTCCATCTCCTCCGACATCCGGCGAGGAAAGGGAACAAAGGCACAGAACAATTCCCATTGTTTTCCATGACTTTCTTCAGGGCAGTTCTTCCAGCGCAGCGCTGCTGCCCAGCCGCTCCGGCTCTCRGGGCTGTGCAGTAATTATCCTGTGCCGAGGTGCCCACCACCCAACCCTCGGAGCCTGGTGCCCACCAGCACAGCGTTCTCAGCTCCCGTCCCACTCCACAGCCCCACAGGGCATTCCCGAGATGCTCAGGCAATGCTGGGTTCATGGTTTGACTCCAGGATCTCAGAGGTGTTTTCCAAGTAAATGATTCCGTGATGACATCCAGCTACCGGTACCCGGCCCAGGCACAACACTCAGCCCAGGCTCAAGGGGAGGGAGATCAGCACAATCACTTTGGTGGGTTTCAAAGGGGGAACRGAAGAATCACACAGAAGAGTCATGGAATGGTTTGGGTTGGRAGYGACCTTAAAGCCCATCCAACCCCCTGCCATGGACAGGGACACCTTCCACTATCCCWCAGTGCTCCAAACCCYAATGTCCACCCTGGCCTTGAAYAMTTCCAGGAATGGGGCAGCCACAGCTTCTTCTCTGGAAAAGAAGAAGGTATTTAACATGTGAGAGAGAATTCAACCTACRAGTCTTGCTGGATGGGGATGAACGGATAAAATAAATCAAACATCCCCTGGTCATGGACTGGGTGTTCCAGGGGCAGAAGCAGAAATTACCAAATGCTAAGTGATGCTTGTTGAGGACAGTTTGGACAAGTGGTTTCTCCACTAACACTGATGTTTTGGTAAAGCCACGCTTCATACAGAGCCCTAAGAGCTTACTACAGCCCACAAACCCCAATGCTCCCAGTAAAGCCATGCCTAGGYTCCAAGAAGATCCCATATCCAAGCAGGACCTGGCCAAGGACAAAATTCAACTTCTAACTGCCTCTGCAGACAAAATGGGTTTGAAAACACCTGGACTCCAGCCTGCCTGTCCAGCATCCTCCTCCATTGCAAAAACTGGTGAGAAAAGCTGAGCTCTGGCTGAGCGAGGCTCCTCTGGAGCCACTCTCACAGCAAGACTACAGTCACCAAGGGAGGATCTCTGACCCCTGAGAGGGGCAAATTCCCCTGATTTGGTCCATTCCATATATCACCATTTCCTAGCTCCCAGAAGGATGAATGGCAAGGGGAAGTGAGACATCCCTGGGGATGAGCTCTGCTGTTCATTCTCACCTTGGAGATGTGAGCGTGTCTCTGACACACCCATCCCACGGAGTGACATCCCCCAGCACCTGACCAGCTGACCGAGCTTGGAGGGATCTGACCAGGATTGGATCTCTAAGGGSTCTCCTCTGAGTGGCAGAAGACAGGGATCCTGGTGAAGCACCACACCAGGAGAGGAGTCTGCATGAGCCCACCCCAGGCAGGCTCAGCAAAGAAACTCCAATTCAACATCCCCATGCCACCCCGACTGGGTTCAATCTGCCAAATTGTTTTGGCATGGGGAAAGAAAACTGTCTTGGGCCCAAAATTCCATCCCAGCCGTGGGTGGGACCCTCCCCATGCTGGGCCCTGCACCCAAAAGTGTGGGTGCCCCCCACCGTGTGTTGCATCCTGCATTTCTGCTGCTTTGAAGCCACCTCCCATGTCACCCTGCAGCCCCCAGAGGGGAGGCCACAGTGGGGTCACCTTGAAAAGCCACCTGGCTGGTTCCCCTGGCACTCTTAGTGCCCTGGGAGCAGAGCCATAGGGCAGGCTGGGATGGGCAGGAAGGTCACCGAGCTGGAGTCATGGGGAAGGCACAGATCTCCACCATCCCACAGGGGCCATGAGAGCACCAAGCAGGATTGCCAAATGTTAAGTGCCTTGAACAATTCCCTCCTCAGTTACGGGTTTCATCTCTGCAGCCTCTGGGAGCATGGCACAGCACTTTTGATGCCCCAGCCATTGGGTGACAYTTGGCAGCAGGAGAGGGGCACCAGGAGCCCTCGCTGGGGCTGGCAGCTCAGGCCCTCAGGTGCCGGATGAATTCTCCAAATYCCTGCACCTTCCCCTTCCTGTGCCACCCCAAATCTGCCTCCAGCTGGCAGCAAGACCCCCAGCATCCCTTCCCTCACACCCCTCCAGCCTCTGAGCTTCCTGAAGAGCAGTGATTTTCTTCTTCTCATGAGTCAGGGAAATTTTAAAGGGAAGCCACATGGGACATGTGACCTGTGGGCACTGCGAGTATCTCCTGTGCTCAGCCTCCATCCCTGCCCTGGCTCAGCCCCACGCCATGGAACAAGGGAAGCTGCTGCTTCGAGCCCCTTTCCAGAGCTCAAAGCTGCACCAGTCTCACATTTGAGACAATCCCAGCATCAGCAACACGGCTGGCATTGTGGATGAACATTTGAGCTCTGTGCTGCTCCTCCTTCCCGTTCTCACACGGTGAAACACTCAGAGCATCCTCACCCAGACACAGCTCCAGGACAGCAGGGACCTTCCCAAGGTGCAGAGCTTCCCTGTGGCACCCATGCCAAGGTAGCACATCACCTTCCACTCAAGATATCGCTCCAGAAAGGCAAAAAAAAAGCTGGCAGGGAGCCCAGGGCTGGCTCTGCCCCCGAGCTGCAGCCGTTTCATGTGGCTCCAACGCCTCTCACACTTTCAAAGGCACACCAAGCCAGTTAATGGATGTCTCCCAGCCCACTGTGTGTGTTCTGACACAGCCCCTCTGCCAAGGGAAAACAACAGCGAGCGTGTGTGGATGTGTGTRTATACAAAGGCTTTAAAGAGGACGTTGCTTGCATTTTTACAGCTTTGTTGAAGGGTTTGGTTGGGTTTCTCCTTTGAGTATGAAAGCCTAAAGTAAATACAATCCAGAGAAAAGGATTTTAAAAAGATCTTTAATACTTTACCTACATGCATAACACCTGTAGAGCTCTGACATTCCCCAAAGTACATTTTTTGCAATAAGTGTTTCAGGCTGAAAAAAGACTGCTCAGAAAAGCATTGCTACCAGCCAGCACTGCACATCCTGCCAACACGAGTGTTCATTCACAAAGTGACACAATTAAATCTGTCAGGGAAGTCTATCCCAGGAGCCACATGGCAGTTTTACAAGCTTTAAATTTCAGGTGCTCCCCAAGGTGCCTGTGCCATGAGACTCTCACAGAAGGAGCCCACACACCTCCCCCGTACAAGTGGAATCCTCCTGCTTCAGGATTCAGTTTGTTGGAGAATAATGAAGTTTTAATTCTTTCTTGCAAATAGAAACAGGGAATCTAACATGCCAACCACACTGCCACCTTTAAAACTTCCGTAGAATCYCATAATGGTTTGGGTTGGAAGGGACCTTAAAGCTCATCCCATTCCACCCCTTGCCAAGAGCAGGGACACCTTCCACTGTCCCAGGGTACTCCCAGCCCCAATGTCCAGCCTGGCCTTGGACACTGCCAGGGATCCAGGGGCAGCCACAGCTTCTCTGGGCACCCTGTGCCAGGGCCTCRCCACCCTGACAGAGAAGAATTTCTTCCTAAATGAACACAACAAATTCCTTTTGATGAACACAAATGCTCACCACTCCAGCAGAGTAAACAGCCACCAAGCAGAACAGTTGTCACCCTGACACCAAGCTTTAGTCCTGARCTGAACTTCTGCCTACATTTTGTCACCTTCAAGACTGCAAGGTAGACGTGRTCACTGAGTGGCTTCAAATGCCCATCAGCAAGCCCACTGCATGACAGTCACTTAAAAAGAAAGGATTTTTATTTCTGAACAGAGATTTGGGGTCTATGGAAATTCTGAGTAGGAACTGGACATCTGAGAAACYTGGTCAAGTGGAAGGAGTCTTTGTYCATGACATGGGGTTGGAACTGACGGTCTTTAAGGTCCCTTCCCATCCAAACAATTTTGTGATTCTGCTGTGATCTGTGTCCTTCTCAAATCCAAGTGCTGCTATCAGCATGTTCTGGATGAATCCACCTGTTTTATGTTCATGAGAATTTCCTGGGGCAGACACCTGGATATAACAACGTTTGTAAGGAGCAAACTACACCAGAACTGCCCGCTGTCAGATTTTTATAGTCTTCTTTGAATTACCCAGCCACTGCCAGCATTAGAGACAAGACATTGGCCTGGAAAGTCCATGCAACTGTGCCAGCTCTTCCACTCCTTCCCAAGTATCCCATGTTTTAGCTGAGGTAGAATAAACCTTTCCACTGCTTTGGAGCAAGTCTCCTGGCTGGGTGGTTACCCACATACAACACCCACTGCGATACATTTGTGTACAAGTATGAAAGGAGAAAATATAATCACTTTATTTTCAGTATACAGACTAAATCCCACCATAAAATCAAGATAATGAGCAAGCACACATGAATAAAACACTCTGCACTTAAGCAAACCCCACTTTTGCCCTGTGTTGCTGCAGTGGCTCTCACAGCTCTCCACTGTTGTTCCCAAAAGTGGCTGCAGCACTCCCAGGAGCAATCCTCCCTCTAGTCCAATTCAAAAAACACTCCCAGTTTGCGTAAAGTGCTACATTTTCCTGTATGCCTTGAAATACTAGTTAGGTACAACACTATTTCATCATCTCTGCTCCCAAGCTACGTCCAGTCCCACTCCCACCCTTACATCAAAGCCACAATTACTTCTACAAGGAGGTAAAATCAGCAGGTTGTAGCAACAGAGCTCTTCAGAGGTGCAGAACGATGGTGAAGGGCGATCTGCAGCACACACAGCAAGACACAAACGCTGATGGGTTGGACCAGGCACATGCACACCATCACCTGTGTAAAGCTTTCTCCACGGTGCCACTCCTTCCACGTCACAAGCCTTTCACATTGAAAAAAACAAACCAGCCCTTGTCAAATTTAGCCCGTTTAAAGCTGCCAACAAAATCGGATTCCACGTGCTATCAGTGGGCATGTTATTGCTTGTAGTAAATGGGAGAAGTCTGGACCTACWCATGAGATTGGCTTGCAAAGCAGAAAGGTCAGCAGAGCTCCTCAGCAGTTTTAGGAAGTGACCAGCTGGTGTTTCCTGCACGCTTCACACCAGCTACAACACCACAGTCCAAAACACGCACCGTACCATCCCCGAGCTGCTCTGGCTCCTATTTCATACACCAGCACTCGGTGTAGAGTGTCACAGGGAATTTTAACAAGTCCATCATGCTCATCTTGACTCATCCCCCTGAAAACAGRTGAGCTGGGCTGTCATGGCAAAGCAGTGCCAAATGCTCTCAACACTCAATGCCACCAGAGCGAGCTGATATTCGTGCAGAGATATTTATGTCCCCAGCAGAGCAGACACATCCTCACTGGATTTTCCAACTCGCCCAGTTGAACTTGGACCAAAGCGTTCAACAATCCAGCCTTCACACCTTGTGCCTCTAACTGAGTGTAGTTTACAACTGAGTGTCTTCAAGGAGTAATAAAGCAGCTCTCAGGATTTCTGCCAAGCCAACACTGATTCAAAGGCTCAGTACAAACTCACAGTGTCACATGGGAACACCAGCCCATTCCAGACCCCCAGCTCACTCCCTAAAGTTTCTTTCTTTGCTAACACACTCTGATGATAATCCTGCTTTACAGCCTCTCCTAACTATACTCTTCAAATCAGATCTGACTGCAAATATTGCCCGTAACCTAACAAGTATCATAGAATGGACAGATTATTTCCTGCCTACTGCTGCTCCAGATGCAATGCTACCTACAAAAACACGACTAATTCTTCCAGCAGATGATCCAAACCAGCACTGTTCTCCAACAGCAGATGGGTGAGGAGGGCTGCAGATTGCCAGGTCTCCAAGTCTTCCCACACCACAAAGTGAGGTAGCAACAAGCAGCCTTTGCAAAACAGCATTGCCTCTGTATTTTTCTCTACCATTAAATCCCTTTGCCTCTGTATTTTTCTCTACCATTAAATCCCTTTTCTACACAATTTAGTGAGTGAACTAGAGGCTTCTCTGGAGCAGTGGAAGAAAAGAGATGGTAAATAAATAACAATTTATAAGAACTAGGCCAATAGTTGTACRAAGTTTTCCTTTTTTGGTACCAGCACTGAGCACTGCTCGTTTCCAGGTGGAGAGAAATACAAAATACTTCAGTCTCTCTGTGAGCCTAAAGTCCAAGTGACTTCTGCACAATCTGCTTGGCAATTTTGTTAAATTGTTCTCTGTCTTCCCGCCACATCTTGGAGGCATCTACATTGGCTCCACTTTCATCATTTGGCTCTGAAACGAGAAAGATAAAAATAGGTGGGCAATGGAGCCTCTTGCTTCTTCAAGAGTTCCACTTCCCCAAGGCTTTGATACGCTTCTCCTCCTTGGGACTACAGAAACGCCACTAAAGCAAATCCAATGACAGATTCCCAAAAGGCTCTGATTTAACTGACCACAAGAGAAAGGATATCACAGCAAGGTCGAGTTTAGGCAAGTAACAAGTAGCACAGGAGCAGGACTTTCTTTTGTTTGCGCTTCCAGCAGTGGAGCCCCACAYCATGCAGATGGCCAACACAATGTGGCATCCCCAGTGCTGTCAAGGGCTTTTTAAACTGCATGTTTCTCCCTGCAGAACCATTTTTTCCTTGTTCTCTGGCTTCCCAGACACAAAGCCCCTCCAACCAGGCCACCCAAACACTCTGTCACTCATTGGGATGGCTTTTTCTATTGAAAACCAACAAAACAAGCCAAGGACACCCATAGAATATGCTTTCATTTCCGCAACATCGTTTCATCTGAGGATTTTGGAACACAAAGCACATGAAGTGCTGGACTCCCAGGGGCTCCCCATATTGTAGGGAGGCAAGCTGAAACCCAGGATTTATCAGGTCTGTGGGCAGCACACGGCAGGACAATGGGATTCCACAAGGTACTAACACACTCTACCCACTTYCCTTGACACACCAGTGCACAGCCACCCTGGCCCAGGTTATGGCAGTATCTCAGGCTCCCATCCTTCTCAACATGATGCTGATAAAACCAGCACGTGTGCAGGTCACCCAGACTGGTAAACTTGGGCTTACACTGCCTGCAGAGCCAGGGCTGAGAGACTTCCAGGACCCTGAAAGCAGCTGCCCACTGGTGTTTTAGCCTAATTCCTCCAAAAGCCATGGGAAAACAGGATGCACAGGCACAAAACAACACCATGTGACTCCCACACCTACGAGTCCAGGTAAGGCTGTACCACAAACCAAGCTCTTGGAAGCCATGGGAAGCCCATGGGGTGCTACTTGCCTGCACAGCTTCCCAATGCAGTTATTATTCCAAAGTTAAAACAATCCCATGGAGGACTTGCTAACTGCTCTTTGGTCAACTTTGCAGGTTCTAAACCCATTTATYCTTCACAACCAGTTTTAAGGGACATGGCTCTGCCCTCTTCAGGCAGTTCCGTGGCTCTGTCCACTGTGTGGAAAATGATCCATCTTTCAGAGCTGTATTTGACAGAGCTGATCCACAGTCCTTGTTAGGCTTAGGGAAAACTACTTGAAAGGCTGCACAAAAGGTTTTTCACCCCAGGTCTTTCCTCAAGAAGCCTCATCCTGAATCAGAGATGGCAGAGTGGGGCACATTCCCARGCTGGGAACAACAAAGAGAAACAGAGGGTGAGAACCAGCTGAGTGAGAACCAGAGGCCATGGACTCCAGTTTACTGCACTGGTTAGGTCTGGTAACCATTCAGCTGCAAAGCCAGATCCAACACAGGCTGTAATCCACAGCTTTAAAAGCTGGATGGACAGATTAACAAATACAAAAAAGGTTTTGTCCAGGAGCAAGGAGCCAGCTGAGCCTCTGGACCCACCTGACCCAGGGCTACTGGCTCAGATTCTACCAGCCTGGAAGGACAGCCTTGCAGTCACCCCCAAACAGGAACACCTGTTACTAATTCAGCTGCATTTTTTCCAACTCTGTTCAGAACATTGGTTTTCTAATAAATAAATAAATACCAGGGTTTGAAGAACTGTGGTTGCTGCTGAGCAGCTTTGTTCACTGAACASAGCAGAAAGCACGAGCAGCTCCAGCTGAGCCAGGAAGTGCTGCCAGGACAGCAGAGCTCACCTGCCAACATGCTAACAACCGACAAGAGGATCTTCTCCACRCTCTGCACCGGACTCCACCGCTCCGCGCTGCTCTCATATCCCATGGGATCATCCCCAGGAGCGTGAAGGATGGAAATGCAGACTCTCCCATCTGGGTAAACTGCACAAAAGGTACAGAGGWTTGGTTGTTACTCAGTGGAAATGCTCAGCACCTCCAGATCAGCCTCGAAACTCGGCTTTTCTATGATTAAAACTAAATGCAGGTTTAAATTTCCTCTTTAGGCCAGAAGACACAAAATGTGAAAGACAAAATTCTAGGAAAAATCTTCTTTAAGYGAATCATTCCCCAACAGAAACCTGCTGGGAGCACTAGTGTCATTTAATAATCAATGACAGGCTTCGTGGGAAAAATGAAAGATGYAGCCTGGTGCAATAAGGCAAGGATTTATGCACAGACACAGCTCCAAGCAGGTAACCAGTCCTACTTAAACRGAAATGAATGCACTGAATGCACACTGGAGTCCTCCACTGGACTGGGAGAATGAAATGAATTACACAAAGGAGGGAAAAGTGTTATTTGAGGTATGTCATAAACATATGAAAAAATAAAGTGTTATGTTAAATATATTATGAACCATAGACCTGATCTTATTTTGAACATTACTGAGTTGCAACCAGAAGAATTCCCACTACTTTTTTTTTTCATTTTGTTTAAAGCTCAGCTGCATTAAAGCACCTGGAAACAAGGAAACCTATGAATTAAGGATCCAGGTGCTTCCCCTCCCACCTTTAGCATAAGCAGTGTGTCAGGAACAGTGCAAGTTGTCTTCAGAAAGACTGGACTCTACTGACTTGGTGATGAAAGCAAAAAAAAGGTTGAAGAGGCAACACAAAGAGAAAACATGGCCTAATTCTGCAGCTTCCTGAGGAATGGCAACTTCAGCACCATCATTTCAGGGCTTCTATTCCTCAGGTGACCAAATCCGTGCCATTGCCAGGAAAGCAAGACAAAACAAAGTAGGACTGGCTGCTGGCAGCAGCTGTGCTTGTTTCCAGTTCCTTCCATTCACCCAAGCATGTAAGCACTGTGCAGGACTTCTATTTCCAGCCCTTCCTGCAGCTCCAGGTGGGGACCGGAGCTGGAAGAGGTGAAAACAGCAGGTGCTGACTCAGCACTTCTTGCAAGTCAGGAACCCACTGGTAGGAGCATTTCCCTGGTGAATGAGTCTCCTGTTTCTGTGCAGAGCCTCATCTAAAACAGCTGGAACACAGAGGCACAGCCACTGACATCAAAGGCTGACTCCAGGAAGATGTATGGATTTTCTCCCCTCTGCTCAGGTGAGACCCACCTCTGTCCAGCTGTGGGGCCCCCAACCTGAGGATGTGGAGCTGTTGGAACAAGTCCAGAGGAGGCCACAGAGGCTCTGGAAATGGGCTGGGAGAGCTGGGAGTGTTCAGCCTGGAGAAGAGAAAGCTCCAGGGAGACTTTAGAGCTCTTTCCAGTGCCTAACAGGGCTCCAAGAGAGCTGGAGAGGGACTATTGGACAAGGAGCAATGGCTGTACACTGCCAAAGGGCAGGAATAGATGGGATACTGGGAAAGAATTGTTCTCTCAGGGGGTGGTGGGGCCCTGGCACAGGGTGTCCAGAGAAGCTGTGGCTGCCCCTGGGTCCCTGGCAGTGTCCAAGTCAGGTTGGATAGGGCTGGGAGCAGCCTGGGATACAGAAAGGTGACTCTGCCTGTGGCAGGGAGTAGAACAAGATGGGTTTTATTGTCCCTTCCAACAATCCCTCCCAAACCACCTCTAAACACATGATCTCCCCACCTTGCCCAGTGCTAATGCAAGCAATGCCATTAATCACTACTTTGAAGTTTTTTTCACCAGAGCACCCAAGAAGGTAATTTTAATTCAAGAGAAGACAGTTCTGTGGTTTCTCAATTCCCCCTTCACATAACATGAACTGCAAAGATGAGGGAACACACCAGACTTTTAAAACATTTTCTATGAGATTTCTCACAGGGAGAAGAATAAAAAGAACAGCCCAGAGAGCCTTTCTGAGTAGAACCAGCCCATCACCACCCCAGCTGAGAAGAAAGGTTCAAGTGTCTACTTCAGGTGATCTCAGCTTTAGATGAAGGAGACTCCAAATCACAGGACTTTGAAGAGCTGAGATGACCATCCAGTATGCTCTAATCACCCCATGGATGAAATACCCATGTGTAAAGCCACTCTTCAACAAAAGAGTCAGGCAGTCAGTGCTTCTGCACACCCCACTCCTCCTGGCAGTGCTGCACACAACACAGCTGTGAGCACTGAACCTCAAGCCAAGGCCACAGCTGGAGCTGCAGGGACATGGATTTGCTCACGRAGGCCAGTCCTGGCAACAAGTTTGGGTGAATTAGTCCAGCTGSAGCGAGGTGCTGACATGGCTGCACTGCTTCCAAGAGCCCAATGCTGCCCTGCTGTGGAGCTCAGAGCTTCAGAGGTGATGCCACACTGCTTTGGGCATGTCCACACAGTTCTGTGCTGTGACATGCAGGTGTGACTTCCACAGGACAATTGTGAATTAAATGTGGATTAAATGGGCAAGAACCTGGTGAGTGGTGGTTCCAGAAGGGAATAACAGAGAAACTTCAATGAATTGCAGAATTCCTTGTATATAGGATGAAATAAATCGATTCCCAGCTGAGATTACAACCAGTGTTTTCCAGCACAGGAGAGGAAGCACCAGGCAGCATAGCAATTGCATTTTCCTGCTCTTGAGAGTCAGCCTGAACACAGATCCAGCCCTTCAAACCTSGGTAGTAATAAACAACCTTTGCACACTGCATGCTGATTCAGCAGATGTCAAAAGCAATGATTTCACACACAATTCCAAGGCTGATTCCAGAAWGTAGAGGCCCAGGCTGCAAATAGGGGCTTTAAAGTTTTTTTCATGTCCAAAGCTCAGACTCATCAGTGCAATTACACCCACTGAAGAGTCTTCAGATAATACTGTCACCAACATAGATTCATTAAGGYTGGAAAAGATCTCTATGGTCCTGAAGTTCAACACAAATCAGTATTGCAGAGCAAAGGTCAGTGAAGTCTTGATAATRAACACCTGCAAAAGTGTTGTCTGCTTGGACAGAGCACTCTGTATTTCAGAGAGATCCCTCAGAAATGCTAAACCATCCTGTGATTTCACAGGACAAAAACCATGCTGCCTAATAAAGCTGCACCCACGAACAACTTTTCACTCATTAAAATAATACCAAAATACCTAAATATGAGCCAWAGGGCAAGACTGGGTTCATGGTGTGTTTGGACAAAGCTCYCAGGCACATGGTGGGAATCCTGGGGTGTCCTGCATAGGGCCAAGAGTTGAACASTGTGATCCTGAAGGGTCCCTCCAAACTCAGCATATTCTATGATTCTGTGACTGGAAAAAAGCCTGTATTAAYTCACTAAGTCTCACATCCTGTACAGAAGATTTAAAGGCACAGAATTTGCTGGAAACCTTACTGGACTGTTTATGAGCAAAAGGCTTRTGAGGAATGATGAAGAATAAAGTGAAAAGGATCCTAAGACAGAGCAAAACTGCTGGTCAGCTGAATGCTCACTCTGCATGCTCAAGGTTGGAAAGGGGGAGAACCACCCTTGGGAAGGCTGCCAGCTCTTCTGGAGCTGCAAAAGTTTCTTTTCAAGCTGCACAAGCAACCCATCTGCTGCATCAGACTCACTGTTGGGATGGAACATCTCGCACGTGAACCTCATCTTCGGAGGGCTCAGTGGGTAATCGAGCGGGAAACTCAGGATAGCAGGGAAAACCCCATACTCGAAACACGTGTCCTCAGGACCCCTAGAAACAGATAAAATGTTATTTATCRRTGTTTTAAACAGCTCTTTCACCAAYGTTGTTGTCTAATGAGACATGTCAGGCTTGGGTGTATCAGCTGCTCCAGGAAACAAAGGGTTAAGGCGCTTTTACCCCACACCTCATAAAGTTAAATCCAAATATGAGGCTTGGGAGGCAAGGGGGAAATCAAAGCTTGCACACTAAATTACTAGGAAGGTCACAACACTGTTTAATTAGCAGGGTGTGTCTGGATATAATTGGAGTATCTGGCTCCAAGGCATGTTCCGGGATTTGAGTGTCTGCACGTCAAGAGAAAGCAGAGGCAGGTGTGGGACTCCTGTGCCTTTGAAGATACTGTTATGCTCTACAAGACAGAGATGTCAAATGCTGGAGCTCAAAATTAATTTATAAACCCCACAGAGATCCCAACTGCCAGTATCGAGCACAACCACACAAACACTTATCACTGTCTGATGCTGCAAAGGTTTGGAAAAATAAAAACACAGCTCAGAGATTGTTATTGTCAGATGAGATGAAGGACAACAGTGTGTCTTTGCAGACTTCAGGTATTCAGCTTGCCCTCCCTCGAGTGCAGGTGGAGAACAAATGGCTTCATCAGGGTTCTTGTAGAAACATTTCCTTATTGTGTTCASAATCTAGTTCAAAGTGCAATTGAGTTGAGAACATAAAGACAACTATGTCACCCTGCCTACATAGAACACTTGTGGAAAGTGAGCAAAAAACAAGTTTATTAGCTATGATTTATTCAAACTTGATGAACCATCTGGAAGTTGTAACACAAACATGATTTCCCTTGATTGGAAAGATGATGAGAAAAGCTTCAGCGCTGAAAATCGTAGCCAAGGAAACCTCATGTATTTAGTAAAAAACCMTTCAAACAAAGGTTCCACTGTCTGGAAATAAGGTTTAGGAATACATTCATGCCTCCTCCTCCCAAGCCACATTGTCCATGCCAGAAAGAACAGTAAAACTGGAGAGCGGCAAATCCTAAAGCCCTGGAAGACTTGCTCTCTCAGACTTTGGGATTCAAAAGACTTGGCTGGTAGATAAACACAAGAAYTATGTGATTTAAACATGAATATTGACGCTGGCAGGTAAGGTAAGAGAAATGCCTCAGCGTTCTRCAAGAATGAAAGCTAAACCATCTCAACCACTTTGTTCCTTTTTTGGCCTTTCCCCTAAATTTAGKCGGGATTCAATTCACATCTGAGAGTAAACTGAATGCATTTTTTCATGACCATTTTAATTCCAGCTGCATTTTAAAGGCTTATTGTTGAACTTCTGAGAGTATGTACATACAGGCATTGAAAAGCTGGTGGGTGTCCATGTTCTGTTTTGAGAGCAAACCCACAGCCTTAAGGCTCTTCTGTCAAATGCACTCAACCCAACATACTCCATTTTAGGCTCTGTATTATGTGAGCAAAATGCTTTTGTTTTAGCCACTCAGCACTGCCAGGATCAACTTCAAAGAAATTATTAAAGYTAATCCAAGACAGCATTTGCAACTACAAAACACTCAACATTTGAATTTGACAGCATCACTTTGAGCTCAAAAAGGACATTGGCGGGGCCAGGGAGGTAAGAGCGTGGCAGCTTCTGCAATCACATCCCTGCTCTGCAGTCATTCCAAAGCTGACAGAAGGCAAAGCATGAAAATGAGCAGCTCTGACCTCCAGGAGATGGCTGTTACTCAGACAAGGGGCAGAAAAGGGTGGTGGGTATCTGACAAATAGGAGAGAGGAATATTTTGATGAGGACAGCCAAGAGGAGTTGTTTACTTTGGAGAAAAGGTAGCTCAGGGGGGACCTTCTCCTACAACTCCATGACAGGAGGGTGAAACCAGGTGGGGGTCAGGCTCTGCTTCCAGAGAACAACTCAAGAGAAAATGGCCTCAAGTTGCACCAGGGGAGGTTTAAATTGGATATTAGGAAAAATTTCTCCCTGAAAAGGTTGTGCAGYTTTGGCACAGGCTGCCCAGGGCAGTGGTGGAGTCACCATCCCTGACAGCACTCAAAAAACATGTGGATGTGGAACYTGGGGACATGTTTAGTCATGGATTTGGCAGTGCTTGGGGAATGGTTGGATTTGATGGTCTTAGAGGTCTTTTCCAACCTTAATTCTATAGTCTAATTCTATAATCACAGCTTCACAAACATTTGCAAATGGCTTATTTGTAAAAATATGCTGGAAAAAGACCAAACCTCACAATCATCAGATGCCCAAAAGGGGAWTGGAAACAAAAGTCATAAGCCTAATTATAGATCTAATTACCTTTCTAGACAGCTTTGTGATAAGTTGACTTCAATTTACACTGTTTAGTTTTCAAGCAATCTTAAAGCTAATAAAGTTCTTAACCATCACGTGCTTTTGTGTCTTTTGGGGATAAACTTTAATAGCAGCACACACTTGCACATRCCAACCAAAGAGGGCAAAACTTGGCCTTGAAATGTTAAATCCATGAACACAACAGAGCCTGAAGAACCTCACACAGCATTAATGAATAGAGCAACACAAGGCAAACCCCCCCAAAATGGTGTTGCAAAGATTTGGCTTTCAAAAATACTCCCCACCTCCGCTCTTCAGAATGGTCTCCACGTGGTATTTTTGGTTCTGTGTCTATTACACTCGTTTTGGAAGTGTAAAATATGTTCCCTCATTTAGACATGCCAATACAGCCTTAACATTTATATGTTTCACATTCCTCCAGYATTGCTGCTGCAGGCAAGAACACTGGAAATACAAATTATTATTTCCATTATTTAAAAAYGCATTCTTTTACCTCCAAGCCAAGCTCTTACATCAATCTGTGTAACATTACCCAGCCTACCTCTGAACTGATAAATGAGAGATATGTTTTCTCTCTTAGGTCTCTTTTTTTTTTTAAGTTATGTGTCATTATATGTGCTCTAGCTTTATATAAATTGGGTGAAGGAAAAAAAAAATTCTGTTATTTTCACAATTATGTTACTTACCTTTTGCACCTCATCTTTCTAAAAATTTGTAGGTAGCATTTTCTCATCTACAYGCCTCATTCCCTGAATCTCACACAGCACATTTGAGATTACAAAACACTGGAGATCACCACAGCTAAATACAAACAAGTCATGTAGCTTGCTTTCCAAAGGTATTGCAAACACTGCTACTAACAAGGTTTGTAAAGAGATAAAAGTAACCAAATGTGTTTAGAGTAAACATGTTTCTATTGTATCACAGCTTCAAAACTGAGCAGATCTTAAAATACAACTTTACTATGACACACACACAATATAGAAACCAAAATTAAAGCACCTCCGCCTCTCATTTTACGCTGACAAAGACCCAAAGCTCAACACTCAGCAYTTTAAAGGGCTTTCAAGTCAGCTAGCAGCTCCTCTGCTCTTTAAGGATGTGATGGGAAACATCAGAAAAGGTATTTTCTAGGCAATTCAGAAGAACTTCTGAGTGTCCCTCACGAAAGCTCCACACWGCCACACCACCTCTGCTATGAAAAAGTACCAACAGGCAGGAATTTCCTTCCTTATTCCAAGAAGTACATTAAACCCTCTGGGATTTGCACACTCCCAGCAATCACAGCTGYCTGACCTGACATCTGGCCCATTACAAAGCACATGTGCTGACTGCCTCTCACAGAAAGTATAAAGACCCTGCAGCCAAAATCTTTGGTGTCAGCCAACAAAACAACCTATTTCCACGTGAACTCTTTATTTTCAGGGGAATGAGCTACCAGGAAGCGCAACCTGTTATCCCAGGAAAAATCACTGTACATAAGCAGAGGCATTTGCCAASTCTTCCCATCAAGGAGCAAACAAGCAGTGGTAATCCAAACCTCCACTCAGCAAGGTCTAAAATAACTCAGAGGTTCTTATTTGGTGTGCAGCAGAATCACCCACAAAGCTGGCTTGGGTGCAACAGGGAATTTGCTACAGCTCACCACGCTTTGGTATTGGTTGCATGCCCGAGCCCAAAGGACAGAAATCTTGCTTTTCATCCCTAGACAACATATTCCAAGCAAACTGAGCTAGGAAAACACTGCCACCCACGCCAGCTGAGAATCTCACCAGTCAGCACTGGTGGTTGCAGGGAAAACCTGCCCAGATCCCAGTGGGCACGGAGCGAGTGGGGCCACAGCCATTGCCTGCTGTCCCCAGGCTCCTCCAGGACAACTCAGCCCTGGCTGAAGGAAAGGAAATCATCAATTCTTACCAAAGGAATCCTGAAACACAGAGCCAGGATCTACTGCAACAACAGACTACCAGCTTTGAGGTGGACTTAGTGGTTTGGAACTTCTTCATGTTTTAACTGTGCAGTATTTGCATAAATTGTCAGATGGGAGTGACAACCATCTTTTTTCCTCTCCTCTACCATTTTTGAACCTTATTTTGTGAAAATCACCAGTTATTCCATGTACTTRAAGTTCCCAAAGAAGGTACATCATGAGTAAGAGTACAAGCAAGAAATAAGGCAACTTGTAAGATGCTGGGCAAAAAGATTTTGTCTTTTCGTGGCAAATTTTGCTACCAATAACCATATCCATCAGTTGGGAAGTGAAGAGAGAACACAGCTTTGTAAAGGAGTCTTCATCACCCCCAAAACACAGCAGGTCATGATCAGAGCTATTCACCAACAGAAGAGTGAATCTCTTTCTAACAAAACCACTGCATGCCATTCTTGACAATATCAACCGATTCACAAAGTGTAAAGATCTTCAAAAGAATTTTTATTTAAATTTGAATACTTTTTTTGAGCAAAACCTTTCAATTTTCTTGAAAAAAATTGAACAGTAAATAAACTAATTTTGGACATTGATTTTTTTCTCCTGTCACTAATAATGTGTGTATTTTGCTCCATTTAAAACCTGTCCTGCATTTGCAGTTAGGCACTGTTCCAACAGGTCTGTGATCTACAAGCAACTGTTTGTTTCCTACAGCATTTGTAAATGTAACATATATCCAAGGGAGCCCAAATGAGGATTCCTGACAAATCTGCAATCTTATTATTATGACACCTGTACAAAAAGTTATCACAGCAAATGTACACAACACCAATGCTGCCTCTRTCACCCTGTTTAAAGTCCAAATATAACTCCCAGCTTGGATCAGAGGAGTTCCCAGCCCAAGGCAGGCCAGTGCTGATGTCATACAGAACTGACAGGGCTTTTATAACATTCTTGCTCTTCTAGAAGCTAATCACAGCAACTGCTGAATTCAGACACCAAACAGTTTGAACTCACATGATCAGGGCTTCCCATTCGAAGAAGTTCTCTTCATTCATGGGACCTGTGAAATAAAACAGAACCATGCTCAGTGCTGCCTGAACGCAAGGTCACAGCTCCAGAGTGCACAAACCCTGCTCGGCTCCTCACCTGCCACAATCCCTTCTGGTGGGTTCAGGGTCAGCTCTGTGAAAACACAAACACAAGAAGATTGAGGTGACGTGTGACCCCAAGCATTTCAGGGGGTATTGGGGTGTCATGGCTTAGCACAGGGGTCCCACCASCATTGCTTAATGCAGGACAGTTTTCTAGACAGAATTATTTGGCACTTTGGGGTTTTTCAGGCTCCCAGAACTAGTCTTGGAATMACAGAATTGTTTAGRTAATCATCAGGATTAYCAAATTATCTCCAGGATCATCAAATCCCCCATCTTCACAGACGCACTAATTTAAAACTGAGAAGGAACACAAAAACTATCTCCACAAAGCTTGGGAAACATTCTTCTCTTGCACCTCTGTGACATTGGCTGGAYACCATTACAGCCTGAAATTTGTATTCCTATAACCTCTCTGCACCCATTCAGGTTTGATGCACCTCAGTGTAAAACTCAGAACAACACAAAAACAGAAGATGCAGTCACTGAGAGTTTTGACAAGCAGCTCTGTTCCCTAACATCAATCCAACTCGCCATGCATGGCCTGGAAAACAGGAGTAAAAAAAAAACAGCAATAAAACAGCCATAGCTGCACACTGTGAGCTTGGATGCATCAATCCTCACTTTTTCTAGAAAACTGATACAATTCCAAATTTGGGAAATAACTTTCAGCATCAGCCCTTTATTTCAAGCTGATGAAGACCACTACACCTTATGCTGGTAAAGTAACAACCACATTTCCTCCTATCTAGTGGAATGACCATCAGCTTCTAGTTTCTGATGTTCTGCAGGGAGGAAGCAGCAGCTGAGGCACAGATCAGCCACAAACAGGCAGCCAGAGGGTCAGCAGTCCTGGGGGCTCAACAGCAGCCCCAAGGCTCTGAGWGAGCCATGTGGCAGCCACTGGAATTGGTGACAGGAGGCGACACTCCCAAAACTGCTTCTCCAATTTCCTAACCAACAGCCTTGGGGACACCAGTGGCCACAAGAACTGCCACACACACTGCCACGCAGGAAAACAAGCAGGAACACCGATCCATGGAACATGTGAAGTTACAAAACAATAAATGAGACACTTCACCTAATTTCTGTTTAGGCTATGGGTGAAAATAGTGCTGCACAGAACAGATTTCTGTCCTGCAATAGCTCCTTTACTGCAGGATTAAAAGTCGATGCTGAGATGCATTGYCAGGAGAGATCATGAAACTCTTCTGTTTGCCCTTAACCTTGGCACAGCCCTCTCTGAAGTACCAAAGCCCAGTAGCAGATTGAAAMTCAGCCTTGTGGTTTTCCACAATGTCCTGGCATTCCATGGCAGGTTTTTCCAGCTTCACAGTGAGTCTCCAACAGCTTTTCTTGCTGACGTTTTTACACAGAAAGAGCGAGACGTCAAACACAGGAGCTCCTGGAATCATTTTGCTCCATCTTGTGGCTCTCTCTAAGAAGAAAAGCCCTCTGATGTTTCCCACGATTTCCCTGGAAAAGCTGGCAGCAGTCCCTGTGTATTCTCTGCGGTGTGCAGCCCCACAGAAGTGTGTCATTTAGCACTCCATCCCAAGGAGAACAGGGCCAATGGGAAAAAACAGCCAAAGCCCACAGAGCAAAGGGTCTCTGTGAGGACAGAGGCTTAATTCTCCACTTGCAGTGCTGGAATAAAGTAATGCCTGCTTCTGAATACTACACTTGTGTTAAGGATTTTTATTCTGGATTTTCGGTGACATTCCTACAGAACAAATGCATGAGCAGCAACACTCTATAAAGGAGTTTGGAAAGGTGGAAGGATGAGCCATTAATTTGGAAAAACGGATAAATCAGCAAACTAGGAAAGGAATCAAGTTTGAAAAAGGAAAAGTGGAAGGCAGGAAAAGTCTCTAGTAAGTCTTGCTTGTAAGCCTGAAACAGAGYTGACACTAGAGAAGTGTGATGCTTCTATTAGGAATTCAGGGCAGATTCGCTGCTCACACAGTCAAGGCCTTCCTTTTCATTTCATTGCTCTTTGTAGAGTCATTATCAACCAATTACCCCTTGGAAATCGTTCTCAGGAGAACAGAAAACACATATTCTTGTTAAAGCACTAAAGAGACTGAAAAGATCATCCTTAAAAGAGAAGTTCAGCAGTATGTTTCCTAAAAACTGCAGCCATTTAACAAACCTCCAAGGGGAGTAAAAGCCCAGCACTCAGGAATTATTATGGGCACAYGTTCACTGCATTACCTGACAGCATCTGGACTGAGATGCTTGAAAACAGTTTTCTTCTGACTCCACACAACCCTCTCAAGCTGTAAGGATGGAACCCACTGAAGCCTGGTTCAGAAGGTTTATTATTTCTGTGACAACCCAAATTTCACAATTAGCGTAAATCTCTTATTTTCAACCTGAAAGCACTTCCAAATAAATATGTTGGCATTACAACCCACTGCTCTGTTGCCTGTTTGTACCAGGAAGGAAATAACAGTGCATACAATTCTCAGGTCTCCAGAGATTTAATTCTTCCAGAGTAACCCATTTTAGGTTTGAACTTTCAGCCAGCCTAAGACATCTTCAAGATCTTGCATCAAGAAACAGCAAACACAGAAAAACAAGGTTTGCATCTCTTAACTCTCACAAAAATAAGCTGCTACTGAGAGATTTATGTCAGGCCTTAATTCTAACATCTAGAATTAACCACAGACATATGCTGTAATAAAAACTATGCCTTTTTTTATACCTAATTTTTTGAAAGGTTTAGCCAAACTAGTTCTGCAGAGTAGATAATAAATCTGAAACAGCAAAAAGTCAAACATGCAAACATTTAAATGAAGACAAAAAACCCAATCCACAGCTACCTCCCCTTCCTTCTTCAAAAAGAAAGCAAGCCAGTGCAATTTCGCAGCTTCTCCCAAAATGCAGTAATATAGTTGGGCTCCAACAGGTGGAAATGCCTCACAATATCAAGCAGTTTTCACAGAAGGCAATGATAAACCTTTAAATGAAGATTAAAACATGTGTGCGYACATGCACAGAGAAAATCGAAGACAAAAACTGAAAAAGAAAAAAAAAGGAAAGACTTCTTACTAGAAGTCTGGTAAGGAAAATACACCCACCAGCAAGGCACTGACTGGCAAAMACCCCTGTCACGACCAGAAGTAACTGAAGGGAAGAGAGAGAGAAGAGGGAAAGTAAAGAAAAAAGATTGTGTCCACAAATTTGTAYGTAACAAATTCAAGATTTCATCCAAGGTGGGCAGTCAGGAGGGGGGCACTGAAAGCCTTTTTCAGGTCCTCATTCTCCCAGGGCCTGGCTGCACCCACGTCCACACCAGCAACACACATCATCAGGACACTGAGCTGAACCTTGGGCTCCAGCCCAGTCCCAAGGTAGGACTTGCCCTTTCTCTGCAAAAAGAGGCAGCAGAAGTACCTATAAAACCAGGAGCTATTTAGATTTTTCCAAAAATACAGATTTTTGCTGAAAATCTCAGCAAAGCTAAGGACTTCTGAAGAGTTACAACCGTCAGTCTTCAGTGAAACACCAGGGAAAGGTTGTAAGTCAGGCTTGATTCTGGGTTTTGCAGCAAGGTTTGATGCGCTAAAGGAAAGTAACAAACCTGGACATACAGCAGAGGGGAATCCACAGACACCAAAATGTCTGGYTCACTGCACTGCTGCAATTTGGGTTTCCAGAAAGCACTGTGCAATTCACCACTGCAAGTTACATTCTTTTTTTTAACAATACTGTGTTTTATTGGATGTGGGAAAAGTGTTTGTAAAGGCAGATCACAGACAAAACGTTATCTCAGTTTGTGACTAGAGTTACCCTGGAAAACTAGGCCGAGAAGATTCCCCTYGTGTCTGCCTGTGGCATTAAGTCAAAACCTTTCTGATGTCATTTAGTATCGTTTTTCCTAAAGATTTCATTCATACAAGACACTCCAGTAARCTCTCTGAGCTCCTCACCAACAAAGGATCAAAAATGCTTTTTTGAAGCTTAGGGGATTGATATGAGAGSACAGAAGCAGAGCCAAGCCTTTCAGTGGCTGTTTTTCAGGTCACTGCTTCTGGATTACAAGGGGAAAATGCAGATTTCTAGGACACACACCGTCAGCACAAGCTTTACCCACACCAGCTGTCAGTGGTGAGGGGCCCTGGCCCTACAAACACCTGCCTGACAGCTCAGCACAGAGACCTGGGCTCTGYAGAGCAGCCTGAGAACAGGCACAGTGTTGGCAGGAAATGTGTGTCTATAAATACTCTCTTTCACACAGGCTGGAGTCTTCCACCAAATGATGACACACACAAACAACTCCCCTTCCCTGGACAGCCTGGGGAGCAGAGTAAGTGACCTTCCCTGGGGCAGAAGGCCAGTTCTTACAGTCCAGCTCCCTCTGACCCCACCAAACACTTCTTTTCTCCATTCTACTTCCTTGCTGTAAATAAAAGTCAGAGCATCAAAAACCAAAACACCTAGGTAAACAAACAAATATTTCTTGCCAACCAAGGGCACCTTTGAACACCTCTCAAGCTCACCAGGGAGCAGATGATCCATCCCAAGAGATCAGGGACCCACCCACTGCAGCAGGTCTCTGCTCCCCGTGGTGGGAYTGGTGAGGATCACTGCTCACCACCCACTGCACTCACATCTCACACTGATTTTTAAACAAACAAGTCTGCCTCCTTGATTACTAAATTCGGGTTTAAATCCTCTTGCTAACCACACTGTTTCCATTAAGGACTTCACAGAGTTACAGAATTGTTTGGACTGAAAGAGACTTTAAAGCTCATCTCATTCCACCCCCTGCCWCGGACAGGGACACCTTCCACTAGCCCAGCCTGCTCCAAGYCCCGTCCARCCTGGTCTTGGACACATCCGGGAATGGGGCAGCCACAACCAGAAGGTATCTGTCCTGTCAAACACCTACAATTATTTTTGATGTTACAGAGATTTCCATTCCGGTATTGTGTTCCATCTAGAATATTTAACAGAGAAAAACATCAAAATAACTGGCCCCTTGCCCAGGGCTCCCAGCCTCCCCCTTGACTAAGCTTCTGGAGCCACGGAACCCCAAAGGTGTCACCCGCACATCGCCCTTCCCTCCGTGTCCCAGCGGGAGGGTTCCGGGCAGGACCCYCTTCCCACAGGCCGGCGGTGCCCCGAGTGCTCCCGGTGACCCTCACCCCGCCCCGGGAGGCTGTGTATGGACGCAGAGAGGGCCCCGCAGCCGGCGTTGGGGGAAACAGCGGCCGGCGGGCACGGGGAGTTGCCCCGGGAGCCGGGAGGGGGCCCGCGGCCTGGTCTGCCCCGCGRCCATCACCGCCCCGCCCGGCCCGCGGGCCTYCTCGGGCTTTCGGAGCGATTCCGCCAGGAAGGCGGCGCGGGGGACCCCGGGGAGCGCGACTCACGCTTGTACTCGGCCATGAGCCGCTTCAGCGCCGTCCCCGCCATGGCGCGGCCCCGCCGCCGCTTCCGGGTGCGCGGCTAGAGCGGCCGCCTGCTGGGAGGGGTRGAGGGCGGCGCTCTATGCCGCCTGCTTCGCCTCTATGGTACYGCCCAGTCCTCCAGCCGGCAAACGAGGCGAGAGCGCCCCGGGAATTGGCGCTCCCAGGGGTGATAGTGTGGGAAACGACGGGAACACGGCAGCTGCTCCGCCACCGTGCGGAGAGGAGAGAGGGGAACACGCAAAATGCTGTGTTGTGCGGCAAAATGCCCCACGGAGCGGGGGTTGTGCGGTTTGTAGCGGGGCGCGCCCGTTGATTCCCTGGAGCGGACCTGCCTTTCCTGCCAGGATGGGCCGCACAGAGGCAGGACCCCAGACCCAAACGGCATTTACTGTGTGCAACAGCAAAGGGCGGCACGGGAATGTGTAAATCTGGGAACGGACAAGGGGAACCTATCCCGCCCCAGCTCACCAAGAACATGGAAAATGAAATAGGGGCCTTTCCAGTGAGATTTCAGCAAGCAGGAGCATAGCTAACGTGAACAAATGGAAAGGGAACTAGCTGATTGTGATTCCATGGAGCAGCAGCACAGCCTGAGTTGAAATTCCTCTGGAACAGGCTTCATGGAGCCCGAACCAACACACAAATCGTTAAACCTAAGCAAGGTTAGAGAGGCAGGAAAGGAGATTGTTATTATTATTTTGAAGACACCTGTCCTCACTTACTAGCTCTTCTGCACAGTTTGGTGACATTAAAAGGCATATTCCCCCTTAATTTTCCAAGTTTAGCCTCCAAAAAGAGGTRTTAAAAAGAAACCTGAGGCCATAGACTTCCAGTACCCACAGAGAAAGAGTCCCAGCTAAGCGAGCAGGAGAAAGGGACAGATGCTGYCCAGCCCTCAGCAACAGCTGGAATTTCAGTGATGGGATTTTTGTAAGCTTGCACAACAAAAAAAAAAAACAAAGCTACTCTTATCACAAGCATTACGTTTTTGGACCAGGTGTGCTGCTGCCTCCAGTTCTTCAATAGTGCAGGACAAAAAAAGTCTCATTTCTGCATTAAAAAAGTAGATTTTGAGCAACTTTATAATTATATGAGAAAAACACATGTAAACCTGAAGTATTTAAACTCTACCCTAAACATTGTATTCTGTTCCAGCCCCATGTCAGCTGCCCAAGGGACTGACTGAATTTACAACATGAGCCAAAATCTTAAAACCAGTATCTCTGTTCCTTCTCTTGGATGCATCTTAAAAGGGGACTTTTACACTCAAATTGGCATGAAAAGACACTGAACTATTTACATAATCTCAGTTAAAACAGAGGGGCAAGACCAACCAGACCAACCAGAGGAATGAACACTCAAGTGTCCCAACACATGGTAGAATGCTCAGGCCACAGGTTTAAAGAAAGAAAAAAATTATAATAAAAACAATTAATTTTTTAAAAATGCTGACAGCAAAGTTTAAAGAAAGAAAAAAATTATAATAAAAACAATTAATTTTTTAAAAATGCTGACAGCAAAAAGACAACACACATGACTTATTGTGAATTTAAAATGGTTCAATTCAGACACAGCTCAATCCCTGCAGATACTGTTTGGACTTGTGCACGTAGAATGTCAAAGACAACAAGCAACTTTGGCAAAYTTCCTCTGAAGTTTCAAAGAAACCCGTGTGTGTGGTTGGCATGTTCATTTGCTCACTAATAAAACACCAAATCCAAGGACAGATGAGAGAGTAAGGTRTGATGAGGATCCTTAAATTCCTCTTCTCCAAAAGATGCTGTGTTTTAGCACCCTCCACCTGTCTGCTGCTGGTACGCTTCTATCGTGTCTTCGTGTTCCATCTCCAGCTGCAGGAGCAACACAGGAATTATTTTAATAATTTTTTAAAAATGAAAATTATAATACAGAAAATCTGAAAGATACATGGCAACAAAAGCTTGGTTCTCTGCTCCTATCCAGCAGCAGAGCACTTTAGGGATAACTTTAATTAACTAATGCATGAAACACTTTGTGTCAGTCATCCTGCACAAATTAGTTTAAACATGCTAAATTCACAGCAACTATTTTAGGGTCATTTTGACTTCAAGCCCCTTTGATCATCATTCAGACTTCAGAATATCTAYGTAGCAATTTGGAATAAGAGTGTTTTACATACCTGTGCAGGTGTGTCTGCTTCTTTAATTGGTTGTCCATCAAACAGGAACATAATCTGCCTCATTGAAAAGCCCTGCAAGTTCAAAGTTACTAACGTGAGATGCCATTCTTGTGTTTCTGAATCCAACCTAAGTATTCATGGATTTACTGTCAGAACACTTGTCAACAAAATTAACACTCAAAAGACAAGGGGGATGACAGAAGATAGATTTAGATTAGGTATTAGAAAAAGCCCTGTGAGGATGATGAGGCCTTGGCACAGGTTGCCCAGAGAAGCTGTGGCTGCTCCATCCCTGGAAATGTCCAAGGCCAGGTTAGATGGGGCTTGGAGCAACCTGGGATAGTGGAAAGTATCCCTGCCTATGGCAGAAGGTGGAATGAGATGGGCTTTAAATTCCCTTCTAATCCCAAATAATTCTGTGATTCTATGATTAAGATATAACAATAAGGACACTCAGTGTATTTGTCTTGMTGTCTACACACTGAGGAATGTTGAATGCTGGTAACTTTACAYTGCCCTTAAAACCTCAGTTAACACACGACTCAATCCTATCCTGACAATGTTTAATCACATGTAGAAGTCTTTATTCCCTGCAGGCAGCAGGAGACATAGGAAGGGAGSAGGAAAAAACCCAGGAGGAAGCTGTGGCATAGAAGAATTTATTTTGTGCTATTTTCCAAACAGAAAGTGCACTCAGAGTTGATGTGAAGTTTTTGGAGATGACAGGACTGAGAGCTGGTGAGTTGTCTCACAGCCAGGATGGAACTGGAGGAATTTTGGTAACTCTCACGGGACATCAGGGAACACCTGAGGAGGAAGAAGTAGCTTCTATTCACCGATGAGAGAACTCCACACCGAGGAGCTGCCAGCATCCCAGCTCCTCACTCTCGCACACAGCTGGATACCCTCACTCTGCCCACAAGCACGTTCCACGAGCCGGGCAGAGAAGCACCGAGGGTTCCACCAGCACGGGGATGTTTCCCTGAGAAGAGCGGTGCCGGCCGGGGTGGTGCTGCCCGCACCTACCTGTCGGCAGCAGTACGCCTTCATCAGCYTGCTCAGCGGGGTGTGCCGCTTTATTCGGAACTGCACCACGGAGCCGTCCTGCGCGGCAACTTTCAGGTCGATGTTACCGTTCTCCGYTTTCACGCTTTCCTAGATGGAAAACCGCAGGATGCGGCGGGCTCAGAGCCCGGCCGGGTGAGCCTCGGGCTGGACATCCCCCTCACGTCCWGCGGGACCTCGGCCGCACCGCAGCCGTGCCCCGAGAGGCGGAGTACCGGCTATTCCTCGTATCGGTCCCTCCCCACCCTCAGCCTCCTCCCGCTCCAATTCCTCCGACCCCTCCCTCTCCCTCCGGCCCCTCCTCTCCCTCCGGCTCCTCCCTCTCCTCGCCCCGCCCCACCTTGGGGTTCTCCTCCGACATGGCGGGGAGGGGAGGAGGGGGGGGGTAGCCTGGGGTCTCGTGCTGCGGCGCGAGACCAACGGGCAGGGGGCGTGGCCAACGGCCGGAGCGCGTGGCCAACCGCCAAGGGGCGTGGCGGGGCCGCGTGCAGGCGATTCCCCGCTGAGCCGCACGGGGGCGCTGTGTGACACCGCGGCGTGAGGGAGACGGCGGGAACGGCGTGAGGGAGGCAGCAGGGACTGCCCCGAAACAGCCCGAAGGCACCCCCTGAGCCCTGTCAGTGAGTTACGTGACAAAAAGCAGCAGTGCATGCCCAAAGAAAAAGTTCAAAGATCACGTGTAATGTTGAAGAATTCACTGATCATGACAAGGAGACACCMCTCAAAGACCAAAACAAGATTTCCACTATCAGGCGAATGCATGAAAATTGATTCTAGGAAAATGGTGTTTATGTTGTAGCATGATCAGGATGGAATAAATACTCTTTTGCGAAGTTTCACCACACATATCAAAGGAGATACACTTCCATGTGTCTGGTGCCCAT